GGGGGGGGGGGGGGACTTCTCCAATGGATTGACATACAAAAGACACAAAACAGCACACACACTATACACACTATACGCGTGCACCATAATATACAATATTTCGCGGCATGGTTTACTTTCCAGACCCCGTTGAAGATATAAGATATCCATTACGGGTCCTATTACCTATCCCAAAATTAAAATAAATCAGGAATAAATGACGTAAAATTAAACAAAAGTTAGAAGTAACGAAATAGTTCGCCACAAAATGAGAATAACGAAGTAAAACGTTACTTCTTAAAACGACTTCGTTTCAAGTAAAAGTACTGCAGAAAAAGTTTACTTTGTTACATGCTCACTTCTCAAAAATAGTACTCAAGTACAGCAACGAAGTACATTTACTTCGTTACTTGACACCACTGCTCCTGTTATAACTCGCGCCGCTCTATTTTGGAGCACCTGTAATTTATCTTTATGGACCTTCCCGTATGCATGTATCCCACAAAGGGGAGCAATAATCAAAATATGGCTGAATCAATGCTTTGTATAACATCTTTAAGGAACGCAAAAGAACAAAGGGTTTAATTCTGCTTCATTAAGGTATCAATTCCCGAACATATCTTTTTGCATAAATTCTTAATGTGAATATCAAATGTCAACCTATTGTCAAGGTCAACCCCTAGATACTTTCAGGAAAGAACCGATTCAATAATACTATCATTCATAATAAGACTATTAGTTACTTCATTGCCTTTAGCACTCAAATCATGTGCGGTTCCTATTAGCATGAACTTTGTTTTTTTCGCATATGACTGCAGTTTATTTACGGTTAACTAGTCCATTATATTAACTAAGTCAAAATTTATCGATAAGATCTTCAGTATCGTGAGAAGAGGCAAATATTTGTGTATCGTCTGCATATAAACATGGAACTGTGGATTCAAGACAATTTGGTAGATCATTGATATAAATTAAAAACAACAAGGAACCTAGAAATGACCCTTGAGGAATTCCACATAATATTTCTTTCTTCGTTGAAAGAAAACCATTTACAAAAGTTTGTTGGTTTCGAGAAGTTAGATATGATTCGAACCAATCATGTTCCACCCCAGTAATTCCATAAAATTTCAGTTTCTCAAGAAGAATCTCATGATCAATAGAATCAAATGCTTTGCGAATATCTAAAAAGACAACACCGGTCAGTTTTCCGTTGTCCATATTTTCAAACCAATTATCACACATTTGGATTAGAGCAGATAAAGTGGAATAACCTGGGCGAAAAAGATTGAAATTTCGATAAAAGTAAATTTACATTAAAACATTGATAAATTTGTCGAAAAACTTAGTTTTTCAAATACTTTGCTTAATATTAGCATGAATAATAAAATAAATGGATAGGAAACTAGCTGCATGACGTGACCTAAAGTTTTCAATGGGCTGATGGCGTGGTTGGATGTTCAAATCAATTCTCAAAACTGCATGTTTAGCAATAATACAGCTAAACATCTTAGTCAAAGAGCAAATAAATATAACCACGCCATTCTATGATGAAATCTCTAGGTATTGCCAGTCAATTTTAGCGAATATTTCAAGCACTATAAACAATGAAAAATACATCGCAAATTTCGTTAAAATTTGTGACGCCAATTTCGTAGCTACAAATGTAAAAAAATACAAAACAAAGACGAAAAATATTTACCTTGAATACTTCGTCGTGACTTAGGCATGTTTTTAAAACAATTAGACCAGTTTATGCTTCAATATCACCCTTTTAAAGTGGAAAATATAGCAAAACAATAAAAATGCCGAGAACTTTGGTAATATTCGCAATACGCCTTATTTTCAACAAGGATGAGGTCAATGACGTCAGGAAGTTTCCTATCCAGTTATTGTACAATCCAGGATATTGGTAATATAGAAAATTGGTCTGTAATTTTCCATATTACGACGACTTCCCTCCTTATAAATTGGATTTACTCGTGCATTTTTCCAATCATCTATAAATATCCCAATTATCACAGGAGACGACTGATCTAGTGCATGAGTTCGGGACGAAGTCAAACCGAGACGATTTCATTTTGGTCAGAATATTATTTAAAACAGATGTTTTTATTGGACGAAAATTGCTTGAAAACCAAACTATTGGTCTGATCATGATTCTGTAATAGACTAATAGGTTCGAAATATAGCCGTTTAAAATTTACGTACATTTAAAATTTACGTGCATTTAAAATTTACTTGCTTTTAGTCCATAATGCCATATATTGGGTTAATTTTTTGTTTTATATTTTAATTTATTAATCACTAGTCTATTCGATCAAAAATCTACTACCCACCCACTATGAATCCAGAACCCACACGGTGAGATCTGAATCCAGTTTGTTGATATAATCCGGAATCCAAATAAAAGAATCCATTAATTTTTATGAGGATGGAATTCGCAATCCACAAGTAAAGATGCAGAATCTACCATTCAGGATCTGGAATCCACGAGTAATAAGATCCAGAATCCGAGCAATATTATTATTTGGTATACGACCACTGGTTGATAACGTTAGAATTATCAATTATTACATATACAACCATACTAACCTGTCAAATTTTCAGCATTATATTGTGCATGAAAAATAAAAGTATTTTTAGGACTTCTTGCATAATTTCCAGAATTTGACACGATGTATAAATTATTTGTGGATGATAAAATCACGACTTCTGTACTTGCGTTTGAACCGCAATATGTGCCAAGCAATGGAGCAGCATCATTTGAACCATCATATATTCTTAGAAATGTATCATTACAACTTGGTATGGTCAGATCTTTAAAGCTCAATGACACGTTGTATATTTCAGAAAGCGTAATTAACCAGGAACAATATTGTGAGCGTGGATCCATCTCACTAACTGCAGCCTTATGTGATCTAAATGAACCACTGGGACCAGTCATTGGACGGCGGCACTCTGAAATAGAATTAAAGGATCTTAAAAATCAAAGCTAAAATCCAGGCAGTTTGCTTGTATCATTTATCATAATATTATAGTACTGTCCAGTAAAGTATGATCCAGTAATTGCAATGTTCCATACTTCCATCGTCTTTTCATTGTTTTGAAAATCCCACTGTTCTCCATGCCATCATTCATTGTTCGGACTCAAAATTTTTTCATAATCTCAGAGCAGTCAGGCAGATAGAGGATCAAAATTATGGAAGCCAAAATCTCGCCAAAATCCTGGGGCCAGTTGTATAAAAAAGTGATTAAAGTTAACTATAGTTAGTGGAAACGTCATCCAATAAGAAGCGCGTATTTGAGAATTGAGAGTTAATCACTATTTAACTACAAAATAGTGAGAGGAAAGTGATTAAGAGTTTTCACAACCGGCCCCAGGGTACTAGTCTGAAAACACGCTTTCAACATTGCCTTCAACAGCTCATAAGTCAAGAAGAACTTGAAAATCCCGGGTAACCGTTTAAATATCTTAAATGTAGTTTTTTGCAAGCTTTCAAATGATGCAAGTCATTTGTGTTAGAAATGTATTTGAAATTTCACATTTTTTTTAACTGTAATAGAGTTTAATACAAAATTCGAAGAAAAACGTGTCGGCAGGAGCCCACAAGAAATTTTAACGCGGCCAACATACAGAAACGTACTTATTAGCCTTCAGGGCACAATAAGAAGACAAAATGGACTTGTCCAACGCTATGGTAAGTTTTTTCCTTCTGTCTGCCCGACTAGAACAAAAGAATTTCAACCTGAGTTGATACTAGACAATTATCGCGCTGAAAGAGTGCATGCATACATAATCAAAACAGACAGTGTTTAAATTGTTAGTAAATGTCATAAAAGATAATTAAACTGTTGGATACTTTGAAATGTACATTTTAAATTTTCCATCCTTAGCTACCGTACATGTTATAAGATTCAAATGCAATTTTTTTCCTGATTGTAGAAAGCGTTATTTGAATATTCGGTTGGTACTACGAACTGAATATATTAACGTACCTTCATAGTAACAATAGTATTTCTTGTCTCCATCCAAAAACAAATGTTCCCCTCCCTGGTCATCTTTATTATTGCTATCTTCTGTATCAAACACAATATATTCCAAGTAACTAAATGCCCACTTCACCATCTGGCATTTGGGAGTGTCAGTAGAGCTAGATGTTAATAAATGAAATGGTTGACTGACTGGCAGTTCAATTGAATCATACCAGTTACCATCAGTTTGACAACAATAGTATATCCTGGTATCTTTTTTATCATATACACCATCTGGTAGAAATCCTCCGTATTTATTTTTGTTCCCATTATTTTCATCATCCCAGAACACCCACCCTGATCTCATATTGTTCGGACACGTTCCACTCTTGTAAATACAATATGAACCTGTCAAAACAAAAATACATTTCGAGGGGAAATCATTCAAAAAACGTATACAACATATATACAGGATCATTTTGATTAAAAAAAAAATCATTCTGATGGCATGAGGAATGAAGATATTACAAAGCTTAAGCTTCGCGTTATACGTCAAACGGCAAACGCCAGGCAAAGAAAACGTCTACAGTATCAGGCAGTAAAGAGTAAGTGAACTTGCTGTTTTAAAACTGAAATACATAATTATCCTTTCGACGCAAGGAAGAAAATATGAAACGAAAACGTTGAACGAAAATTTTGCCAAGAAAGTTCCAACCTGCCGTTTGCCGTTCCCGGAAACTTGAAGCTTAAATTTTCTATTATAAAATTATTCTGAATGCATGAGGAACGGCATGCATCAGTCTGGTGCAATGAGGGCTGGAGGTTTTGTTCATTTTTTGAGAGCAACGACTGCAGCGAATATTGTGAGGCTTTAGTTTAGATTCTGTAAAGAACACTTAGTATACGAATTATGCTATCAAATCACAACCCAGGGTGGTCGAAAAGTTTCATTGACATTGTGTTTTCATTGTTTTGGAAAACCCATTGTTCTCTTCTCCTCCATGCCATTCAGTCATCCAATTTGCATCGAAATGCCTCTTGCAGAATCCCTGGAGTTCATACTGTAACATATGCATGGTTGTTTCATAGGTATAGTCAGTGTATGCATATTGAGAACCTTACCTTTAGGCCAAAACCTTGTTTGTGTTCCAGTATTTTGTTTCATGCAGAATGTCCTGTTTACATCTTTTTTATCTCCAACTAATGTGACATCCATATGTGACCCATTAGATACTCTTGACCACTCACTGGTACTCTTATCGTCTTGCATATCCTGATACCTCCAGCCCTCACGCCACCTATTCGTCTTACCACTTGGACATCCTGATTTAGGTCTAGGAAGACCATAGCTACCTCTTGGCCATTCATCACCTGCAAACATTAGAGCACATGTGCAATACTACTGATTAAATTAGAATAATTTATATGAGTATATAAGTTGTTGCATGAGACCAGGGACAAGTCTAACTGGGACGATTTCATTTTGGTCAGAGTATTATTCATAATCTTGAAGTGTCTGTGTCAGTGTTGGTAGTGTTAATAATATAAACAAGTTTTCGTTGGTAGAGATGCAACTACCTGAAAAATATAAGGAAAATTTCGACGTTGCGAGCGAAGCCCTTAACTAGTAACTCCAGACGATACTATTTATAATATGTGTTTTTAATTTATATTAGTATATAAGTTATACTTACTTACTCAAAAGATTTTTTTAACCACGCTGACATACACAACATATTAGTAAAAATACATAGAGTTGATTTTCAGATGGGGCGTGTTAAACTTACAAACTATCTTAACTCACATTCTAGTCTCCGGTATAGTGGACATACTGCGTTTAAATTGGTAAAGCGAGGATGCCTTTTTCGCCTCAGAAAGAAAACTATTCCACAGCATTGCATCACTGGCACTGTACTTAAAACTTCGTTTAAGGTGGCTCCCTAGGGTTTTATTTCCGGGGGTTACGTTCTTCGTATATATGTAAACTAAAACTCGTGTGACTTCAAAATA